CTGTCTGATGAGATTCTCAAATATTGCCTGTTTATTTGAAGATGTAGATGTCTGGAACTGTGCAAATCTATGTAAATTTTAGTCACAGTATGTGTGTGTCTAACGCGAACTGTTTTTCGTCTGATATCGATTGCGAATTTTGATGTCAAAAAATTGTTGTCCACATTCAGTCATCAGATGAGCTAGAAATGGACATTTACTTCTTCTTATGTGTCAGTAGAACGTCTCAGACTTAGTATAAAATGTTGCAGAAATAGTTCATACCCACATTTCTTTGTCTGGACTATACAGATCTGACAATGTTACTTCGCCTCCTGATCTGCTTACTGACCTTTGTGACCTATACTGAAACTAAGGTGTTTCTCAATCAAGTTCTTTCGCACAAATAACAAGGTTGCCTGCAGTTTGTTGCCTGCTCATGCAGACTGGTCATCCACATAGAAGTCTTTTCGACAAAGCATGCATTTACACATTACTTATGATGTCATGAAGTTAGTCTAATATTTAAGTGCATAATTTATGATAAATTGTTGCAACAAAGGATTGGGTAAATAAAGAGTCAATTCCTAATGGGAAGTGTTTACATAACGTGACAGACGGTAGGCACCTATAGTACATTCTACGAGCTCTACGTGTAAAATATTTATTCTGTTGCCAGTGAGTTATATTTGAGATACTCTGCAGCGGAATTTCTACAGGGAAAGAATTCTGCCACTGTGGTGGATTATAACTTCATCATCAGGTAATTTTATTTCATAAAGTACACAGTAATGCGTTAGTACTTACTGGTGACATTCTCGTCATATTTCAGTGCTCATTATGATATAAAGGCTTTCTATCCTTCCCTAGCTGCGGATTTCACTGGTAGCAAGATTATTTCACATGGCGGATACTGGCACTGTGTCATTCTTGTTGCATGTAATGGTCAGTAACAGATTCAGTGAAAAAAGATTCAGTGATCATGTAAAAATGATAACTCTTAAAAGTGTGCCACTAGCTCACCACAATGTGTGTGGCTGTGCGTTAGCGAGAGCACAGCGACTGATACGTTTTCCTCGGAATTATTCATTTTCCTGATGTCAGTATCTAAGCTTAGCTGAACTTCTATCTACCGATAATCCACATTAGGCCGATATGTTGGTCTCATGTGCCTAATCATCATGTCTTGATATTTGTGTACCATAACGTTCTCTCCTATGAGTTGTCAACGGACTTCCAAGTTAGAACATTCGTGTTGAGTTAAAATCACGTTTTTGCGTTATTTCCCAGCAAGCTAATATGTTTCATCTCTTGAAGAACCTCATAATGATCTTAATATACCCACCTTTACGAAATGTCTCAATATGACTGCACTGAACGTTAACTTCGCTCAACATTTTCGAGCGTATTCGATTTAATCAGCTTCGAAGATAATTAGTGGAGACCGTCACCATTCCCCAGAATCCCCCAAATTCAAAAAAGGGTTCATAAAATCTTCACCTGATTTATTGGCTGCATAGCAGTAAGAAGTGGTTTTCGTGAAGTCATAGTGAACTTGTGAGTAAAACAACAGAAGTCCACGATGAAAATAATGAAGAATCCTGTGCGTATTCAGTGTATTTATTCAGAGTACGACAACCAAAAGACACGAATTCTCTTCCTTGTCAATCTGATAAATCCACTTGGTTTTAGTGAATTCTGGGCTTCTTTGAGATTTAAGCTTATTCATTTGTAATGACTTATTCTGAAACGATAGTTTTGTTAAAAATATAACAGAAAAACGTGTTGTATTTGTTATTAATCTGTAGCACTTTATTATTTATTGAAGTGACTATCCATGTACAAATGTCAAGTAGGCTGAAAAAATATGCTTCATTTCGAAAAAAAACAGTCGTATTAGTTGTTTTTGTCTACTGAAATATGTGTGTACTTTGAAACCAACTCTGAACAGAGACAGAGGAAGAAAAAATAACAAGACGGACTGAGTCTTCTAACTTATGTGGTGTTAGTTTAACCACAAAATCAATTACACCTTAATCTTTAGACTCATAATTATATTCTCGTGTTAAATAAACAGTTTTGAGTGATTATTTTTTATGAAAAGTATTTTCTTAGATTGTAATGATACGTGTTAGAATGGTTAAACAATTAATGGCATGACTGCGTTTATATTCAAAATCATTTTCCTTCATATTCATTCCTGCTCAATAATGACCGTCTTTTCGAAGACATATATTATCACTATAAGAAATCAACAAAGTCTACGATGGCGTATTGAATGTGCAAACACTTGGATGAGGGTAATAATGACAAAGTCATTCAGTTGATTTCCTTCACCGTTGTGTTGTCTATTGTAGCGTCACTATCAGTGACTAAGCACAATTAGGATGTAATCTGTTTGAAAGCAATCTTGAAAGGGTCATGTTAACTTAGAATAATCCATAAAATACGTGCTCAAAATTATTTGAAGTTCAGTAGAACCTCAGTAAAGTATTGCTTCCTCCTAGGAGCTGCGATTAGAAATATTCAAGAACATTGAATTTGTGCTTCAGTATCTTCAGCGTTCTTGTCGTTTATGAAAGATGAAAAGTATCCTTACGGAATACTTGTGCGAAAAATCTTAAGGAGTCTGTGAGCAAAAAAGACAGTTAAATTTCTAAAAAATACATGAAGCATTGTGATGTATTACATACCTGTGAAACTGTACCCAATGTGGAGTAAAAATATACCTCTCGAGGTTTAGGTCTTAATCTGAGTGATTGCTTGGTTTCACTGAAATACTTCGCAGAGTTTAAGACACTCGAGCATGTTGGAGAAAATGATGAAAATATCCTCAGTCCTTGAAATGGAAATGGATATTGTAATAAACTACATTCTAGTTCTCATGAAGCAAGTATTTTACACAAAGTTTTGCTAATAGGGGAAGCACGAAACAACTGTTGTGTTGGATTGTGTAACACCAACATATTAACATTCATTATGTGTTATATGAAACTAAGTCGTGAAATAACAGTTTGGTGTGAACTCAGACGTATGTGGCACACACAATCTCTCCTATTATGCCAGCACTGAAGAATATAATACAGGTGGTCTTCATAAAAGCCACACACACACACTCATGTTCAGAAAATGTTTACTGCACAAACAGACAAGGCCACATTCGAGAGTCCACCTTACCAATACTAACAAGTCTCATAGCTTGAGACAGCCGATATCGGTATCACAAACACACAAAGCAATTCAAAATACTACTATACAATTTCAATGTACATGAATGACTCTCCACATTTTATTGCGTGATGGTTCATTTCGGTGAGGCAAAACCCCCATGGCTTAACTCTCCACGCTGTTTGTTCAGTCACTCTGTTTTCAATGATCTAATTTGGAACTGTCTCAAATAACCTGAGTCTTCAAGATTTATCGTCATTCTCCGTCAAACATTCAAACCGAGTGAATCTCAATAATCTGAAACTACTTAGGTTAACATGTCTCATTAAGGAATACGAATAATATGAAATTAAGTCACCAAACAAAGATTATATCAGTCATTCGCCTGCACTAGTACACCACGTTTAAGTGATTGTTAGAGTGTGAATGCGAAGAACATTGAAAAAGTCGTATTTCAGCAAATAAGAACCGAACAAATTGTTTTTATTAGTAAACTGGCGTCTGTCATGTACATACAAGTAAGGATAGATGATAATTCTTAATAAATAGGATAAACAGACTTATAGTGGCACAGAAAATATCTATGGAGAGCCTAAGACAGAAGATGATAACTAGAGATAGTAACATCCAACATTTCATTGACGAATTCATCCCAGTCCAGTTTTCTCCAAAATACTCCTAAGTGAACATTGCCTTGTGAATAAAGTCTTTCCTATACTTTTCTTGTGAGATGAGTGAAAACTCTCTAGGCTAATTTGTCGTACACTTTCAAGGCACACGAATAATTCTACTGTTAGAATCTGTCATGGGATCTCTCCTAAGGAAACACCATATCTGTCATCATCATTCATGGACACCAACCCTCGTGCTTTAACAAAACGATGACCAGTAATCAAGACAGAGTTCTTATGATCAGTTAATCAAGGCAAGATGTGGTCACAAGAATTAAAATGCCCACAGACTTTAGATAGAGAAATTGAGAGCGTAGTAACCAAACTTAAGGAATTAAGACAAACATTTAAAATGAAGTGGTGCTGAAGACACCTGGCGAAAACACTAATCAGCATCAGCTTCAGTAATCTAAAGAGACATTGTTCTTCCAGTTATCTTACTCAAGCAGCATCATTTCGTCCATGGATGGCATGGATGAGGCCACATAGGATCTAGTCGAGAAGGCCAAATAAGAATTCATTACTCTGGAATCGGCGTAACTATCTTCACCACTTAAAATTGGAACAGTATTCGAATTCTTAACACAAAAGTTAAACCAGTGCTGATATATGGTACAGTAACTTAATGTATCTTTCAAAAAAATCATTTCCAGCACCATGAAGATTTTCATCAACAACTGTCCCCCTTCTACACTTAAGATCAGATGGCCAGTCAGAAAGAATATGCATGAAGTAACTGTTACAGCAAACCAGCCAACAGTCTGCAGCTCGACGAACATTCAGAATAAAATGTATGTGGCTTTGGTATGCTTTGAAGATGGATTCAACTAGCCCCGAACGCCATTTCCTAGAATAGTAGTTAGACGATATGTGATCACTTAAGTATTCAATAATTACCTGGATAAGAGTATAGGAGGGGAAAATAAAAGCTAATTGTTAGTCGTTGAACCAAATAGAAGTGATGATGGGAAACCAAGTGATGTTGTGACAGTGAAGCTGTGATTTGGACATGGACTACATTGACCATACAGTTCATACAGTGCCGACTAACAAATAGTGGGCTGAGCTCAGGTTCATTTTAATGTAAAAAGCAAACACTCAAAGCCTGTACACACTCAGACAGCCAAAAGTTATTTCTTTCAAAAGAGTGTATTTCAGTGGATAATAAAAAAATTAAGGAAGTTCATTTTAATAAAATAGAAATCAATAAAACTCTGATGCACAAAAGGGTAAGAAGCAATCTTCATTCACTTTCTCCAGTTTGTTCATGTTCTCGAAATTTCAGCTGGGCAGAAACCTGGACCATTGACTGGATGAGCTTCTATGTTGTTACTGAAATAAATCGTCAAACAATTACATGGAGATTTACAATCAGCTTTGTTGTTTCACACATCGAATAACTAGAATTGGTAGACATCGATAATGCATATACAATTTAAGTGCTCCTCGTTTAATTGTTATGTTTTGTGGGCATGCATCAGTTCACTTACTCTTTTGGAGCCAGATACATTGGTCATTCGATGCGTGAGCTGCCAGGAAAGGTTCCCACTCATGATAGCAGAATTGTAGTAGTTCCCTCTTCAGAAGTACGGTAATCGAAAATTTAGCGAGAAACGGCCGTTCCATCTGCACAAACGCCTCCTTCAAAGTAATCTACGAAGTGAAGAACAACCTATGGAGAGTAATATTCTGTCTTCTCCTATGCATTGCTGAAACCTTAACGATTCATTTAGGAAAATCGGATATGTGCGTACAAAAGGAAGTTATTCAATCATATCTAACGTCATCGCTACAATTGTGTTGATTTCTAATCACTTGATTTTAGTTTGTTTGATTTTCTATTTCTGCATAACTCCCGTATGTCTTTGGGACTCTTACGTAACTCGGCATTTTCCTTCATTTCTATGTGAATCCTGATTAAAAAATCTTACTATGTAACTCTGATACACATATTCAACTCTTCATATGCACTGACAAATATCGACAACTATTTTTCCGACAACTCATCACTTTCGGTGCTACCGTTCAATGAGAAGAAATCTACATAAATGCGATTTTACAGCTAACCCGGAGAGTGATTTTACCGAAAAGAGACTCTTTGCTTAACTACATGTTTTGTCTTCAAATCATTATTCATCGAGTTAGGTGACTTGCTGACAGTATCAGACACAAAACCATCAAACTATTCACCAGGGTAAAATGCAGCCTTCACAAGGACCTATACGACATTCATCATGTGCAGTGAAGAGCTCTAAGATGTTTAATACAACGCAGGAGGAAGAATCGTTTAGTGGAATTCAATTTCCATTGAGATAGTTTATTAATTCTTTGGATTTTGCAATCGCTTTAACCACGCAACATTCAAATAAACGCGGCTGGATAAATTTTCTAATTTCCCTGCTTGTGCTTATATTATATGCAACTAAAATGAAGTAGGATCAGATTCTCCGTTGGAAACAAAATGGACGTCACATACTTTCCTGCGAGGTCAAGAGACGATGAAAACTGCGATTCAACAGTGAAAGTAGTGAATGAATCTAACAGTGAGTATTTCTGAAAAAGGTCATGGCACAAACATATTGCAATAGAACTTCACAATATACATGATTATAAGAACACAAGGACTCACTAGAGCATTCTGCATCGGAGTTCACCGATTCGTTGTGAGAATTCTTCCTTCGTATCAGGGTTTCGCGACCATAATCTTTCAGCTATAGCAGCACCTCTGGGCCTGCATATGCATGTCACAGAGATAAAAGAAGATACTTAGTTGCAGTCAATAAAGCAAGAAAAATGAGGTCACCCTAAACGTTTTTGGTAAGCTCCTCAAAAATCGGTCTGTCATAAACTGGAGATCCCCCTGCATCATTTCTTGCATGAGTCTCGCCTATGTAGCATATACGAAGGCCTATCACTCAGTATCTGGCCAGCTGTGCCAATGGTCGATGAAAAGATGTAAGTCTAAGAGAGGCCAGCGTCAACTCAGCCTGAAAATTCAGTAATGGTCATTTGATATCGAAATCAGTAGGACCGTCAACTCTTCCATTAGCGGTTAACATTCAAAAATAGTGACTGTTAAAATATGCGATACGTTGAAAACAGTCATAGGAGTACTGTAAATCACAATTCATCTTTATGATATTCGTTTGATGATTGGCTAACAATGCAGTCCCATTGATTTGTCCATCCTGTTTCATCAGAACCTGTAGGGATGTTATCGAATGCTCATATTCTAACAGAGACACAGCGTTGAGTTACTTTGTCATTTTCTGCTGCAAGTGTCATTTTCACTAAGTCGTCTTGTCGACTCCGAAAATCGTTATATACACTTGGTTCATTTCCACCTAACCCAGCTAAAAATATTTTCCTAAATGCTCGAAAAATGCTAACGCGAAGAGTTCTATGAATGATTCACAAAATGTACTTACCATGCCAGAGTGATCATAATGGTCTCATCCACGCGTCTGCCCCATATTGTAGCTTCACCACCAATGACTAATGATACCTGCTCGTCTGAGCCTGTAAAAGACATGATAATTATTATTATCATCACAGGAAGCTGATAGACTGAGTGATGATTAGTGTAATTTGCAAATTCAGATATGCCGAGTTCACTGGTGAAGGAAACATTTGCAATTCGTATGGCTTTATATGTTAAGGTTTGATGTGTTGCTGTCTTCTGAATGAGAGGAGTTGGCAGTACCGATAAAGTTAGACACTGATTTTTGATTTAGAAATGGTCAGTTAAATAACTGATTAAGGGTGCGCTATATTTGAAACCTCGAAATGGCTAGACAGAAATTCATCACTCTGAAATGAGTTTGGAACTTTGATGTCCTCAGCATAAAGAACAAAATTCTGATTTTCAATACAAATGTCAAGTCAGTCACTTCTTATATATGGATCAGAAACATGCGATGCGCAACGAGAAACTCTGAGAACAAACCAACCAAGAGTCTGTTGCGCAACAAATATTTAAGAGAAAACAACATTGATACACCACACACTGACGAGACCGTTGGGTGAAATTTTATTCCTGGCCACTGCAGTTTCATCTGTATGAACAAGGGAATACTCTCCTCCATTACATATTCATTTGCATGGAAAATACTTATAATAATCAAACGCCTCAACCTTTATCTTTGCTACAACTACAATATTTACCACTTTATCTCAATTATAAATATAACTTTCTGTCAACCCATCGTCTAAATATTATTTGGAAGCGAGATCAAGATGAAATTTTCACATTCGTGTACAAAATTCATGTTAGGGATGCAATAACTACAGGTTTTGTAGTCCAACGAATGATTTGCGTTCAAGACCATTGGTACGAACTCACTTCATAATGTTCGCCCTGTTCTCATCGCTACTGTTAGTCGTCACTTTCGAAATCAAATAGATGCTGTAGCATAAGCAGAAGATCACAAGGTTAAAACTGTGATGGTTTTAAATTTTCACAGTAATAGTCTAACTGAGTAACCGATAAATTCTTCTACCGCATGAAATGTCTCATTACTAGATGTGATCAGACTGTGTCAGATTAAATAAGCAGCAAAACCGATCTGAGACAGGATACTGATGATAATGCAATCGAACAATCTGGAAGACCAGCTTCATACAACCAACATATTTGCTCCTTTGTTAACTTAGCCCTCCGAGGTACGTGGTATTGATAAATGATGTATAAATGAATAATGCATGCGAATTGTTGGTGCGGAGTGTTTCATCCTTCCGTCTTCATTTACGTGAGTTCTGGCAATCAGAAGTAATTGACGAACCAATACTGGTGTCGAAATCACCAATCATCAGTCCTAATACTGACGCCAACATCAATTGCTCTTCTTTCACAACAAGTTTCGGTTGAAATTATGCAAGCTAAACTGCTTAGTCGCGAGCGACAGAGAGGCATGCAGTAACAAAGTGCCAATTATTCAGGATTATTTGGATTGTGACGCCATGGAATTCAGACCATCTATCTTTTCACCTTACTCAATTTCGAGCACTTCTTCTCAGGTACACATTTTTTGTTGAATGTGAGACAGAAATCTGAGTTCACATTTGCGACATATTCGTCATCGAGGCGCATGCATCCTTCATCAGATCTAGATTCATTACTGAAAGATTGCTTTTGAGGATGTGCTTGTTCTGTGTTTAGGAATCTGCAGTTAAACCACCCAGCTCACATAATACTACAACACTAAAAGCATCCAAATGATCTAAATATTCTCTTCTTTATTCTTGAATTCTTAAACGTCAGAATCCTGAGTTGTATGACCTTGGCGGCCTGTTTGAATTTTTGGGCCTACCATCATAACATCTACATATTGCATCCAACCTACCATTTACTCCATTTATTTATCACCCAAATATGAATTCTAAGAGGATCATTTACTCTCGTAACTTTATCATTCATTTCCGACCCAATGACTTTCATATTACCAAGAAATCAAGGAGGAAGCATCGCAGTGGCTGGCAGAGAGCTCTTAAACGTACACCAATACTCTTAACTACGGTCCCTGTCATAATGAACACTAACTGCCGCTCTCTGCCAAACAAAATAATGTGCCTACAATCCTTGATGTCCACTGACACTTATCACAATACTGCGATAATCACATTACAAGAAACATGGTTACACGAACTGTACGATGACAATCTCATCTCTCTAAAGGACTTCATCCTATTTAGACAAGACCGAAAATGTGGTAATAAGAAAAATGGGGGTGGAGTAGCAACTTTCATTAACTCCAAATGGTCTATTTCTAATAATGCTTGATCTCATCCTCAAATGACTTCATAGACTGTATCACCGTCAAATGTCATCCCAAACATCTCCCCAAATATAAACACATCTTTATCACAAACATGTGCATTTCTCCAAGTTGCTCACTATCTAATCTTTCAAATTTTGCTGATGAATTCACCATGTTTGCTGCTGCCAACTTCGATAACTCTCTATCTGTTATTACTGGGGACTTCAACTCGTCAGATTGCTCCTTCCTTGAAGCACTTGGTCACTCTAACATTGTCAAATTTCCCACTCGACTAGACAAAACACTTGATTTCGTTTTTACAAATGACGAAGGAATCTACGAAGCACGTAAACGTGTACCGATCCTCAACTCTGATCACTCTATTGTTCGTGTTCTACCTAAAATATACAGCAAAACACATATTAAAGTCTTCTCGCATCTGTCTATGAAAGCACAACAAAGATGCTACTCATCCGAAAACTTACTCAATCTAAGGTGCATGTTACAAAATACTAACTGGGATTTATTCCATGAAAGTTCATTAGATGACACAATTGTCAATATATCGGATTATCTTAAGTTTTGCCTTGATATATGCTGTCCCAAACAAACTCTATTCAAACGCCTCGACCGCTTCTCATCTCCTTATCTCGAACAACTTCGCAGGAAAAAAGAAACTTTATACAAATCCAAAGACAAGTTAAGACTCAAGAAGATTAATGCTCAGATCAAATCTGAAATCAAAAATCTTAATGCTATCTATAATGATACACTTTTATCATGTAAATCTCCAATCAGCATGTGGAAACTTTTCAATTAAATTGCTGGTAATAGTAAGCGTTGTAATGCTTTTCCCTCTTATGATTTTATTGCTCTTAATCAGTCTTTTATACGCTGTCCTTCTACTTTAACTACTTCTAATGTTACCTATCATGTAGCTGAAAACTTTCATGACTTTAATACTCTCGATGTTCTAAAATGTCTTAAAACGCTCAAGCCCTCACGTAGTCTTGGTCCTGATGGTATACCTGCCTATGTTCTAAAACAATGTGCAGATGTGTTGTGTTCTCCACTAACCAACATCCTAAATGCTTCTTTCTCCAAAAATATCGTACCTGGTGCATGGAAAGACATCAGAATTGTCCCTGTCCCTAAACCTGGAAACGGCAAGAACGTAAAGTTCAGACCCATTGCCATCACTTCCCCGTTTCTAAAGCTTATGGAAAAACTAATACTTCTTAAACTTGAACACTCCCTTAAAAACTTCGAAGACCCCAAACAATTCGCCTATAGACAGGGTAGGAGTACATTAGACGCTGCAGCTGTCTTACACAACAACATCGTCTCATCATTAGATAAAGGTGCCAAATACGTCCGCTGCACGTTTCTCGACTTCACTTCTGCTTTCGACTCTGTACCTAGATGTATCTTGCTAAATAAGCTCTCTTTGACAAAAACTGAGTCCTGAGTCACAAACTGGTTGCATTCCTACTTCTCAAACAGAATGCAGTACACTGTATACAAAGGTAAATCCTCCTCTGCTGTGCTTACTGAAGCTGGTGTCCTCCAAGGTGCTGTACTCTCCCCACTTCTCTTTTCTTTCTTTCTACATGACTTACCATCTTCAAATGACATTAATTTTGTCAAATATGCTGACGATCTGTCTGTATCTTTGCCTATCAAATGTCAAAGCGACTGCTCTAAACTTAATGGCTTTCTGTCAGAAATCAGCCAGTGGTCCAAGGAAAATGGTCTTACCCTAAACCCCTCCAAATGCCAAACAGTCAATTTCACCTTTAGGCATAAATCCGACCTAAACAAACTGTTTGGCTCTCACGAGGTATGCAACATAGACGGCACTGAAATAGAAACTAAATCGGAAATTAAATACCTAGGCGTCATTCTATCTGCTGATCTCTCCTGGTCGTCTCATATCTTAGCAATTTCTAAGAAAATATTCCGTCTTACCTTCTACATTAAGAAGTTAAAACACTCTGGTATTACCCAACCCTTACTCCTACAATTCGTTAATTCTCGCATCCTGCCTATTATTCTCTATTGTTCCCCCTTAGTTTTTCCTGGGCTACTGAAGAAAGACTATAACATTTTACGCAGGATGTTAAATGTTGTTAGCAGGGTAAGCAACGTGCCACTTAACCAGCTTGCTAATACTCTGGTTGACAGGCACATGGACTCATGTGAAAAATGGGCCAAATCCATTTTATCTAACTCACACCACCCTCTTCACTCACAACTCTCCCCTTGCATCTCATCAGGCAAAACCAGAAGCCTATATAGAAAACTATATGCTCGCACCAGCAAGTACAAAAACTCAACCATACCCTACTTGGCTCGTGTTCTGTGTGATAAAGAAAGCATTAGGCGTGACACCTATAATTCATTAAATAGTCAGTAGTACAACTGGATCTCGTCTTTCCAACTCACATCATTTATAGGTACAACATTTTCTTTCTTTCTTTTCCTTTTCTCTCTTTTTTCCGTTATGTGCTGCTTTGTTTCTTTCTCTCGCTAACACCAGTAAATATGACTGCTCCCACTTTTCTAACACCTTCAAACACTGTTTCAGCTTTACCTTTGCTACTGACATGCCAATGTGTTGTTGTAATAATGAACTGTAGTTTTCTCAATCTATGTAGAATTCTATTTATTGATAATGTACTAACTGGATGCAATACTGTAGTAAAAATGCTGAGAATTCCATTCTGTATCACATGTACTGTTTTGGAATAAAGCAAATTATTATTATTATTATTGTTACCTATATCACCGCATACTGTGTAATTTCAAATTACCAACCGTTTAACACTGGTAAATGACAAATAAGTTCGAAATTAAGCAAATCCAATAGACAGTGTCAACACATAAGTTTGGTTAATGGCACCATTCCTATTAAAAGCATACGGTAAACCAACTAACCTCCAAATTCTCTGATATCATGTTCGTAGTATTCAATCCAATCATATTCGTTATGTAGCTGAGTTAAATCCCAACCACCAGAAACTATGACGTTGAATTTTTTTCCAGTAGCCTTTCTGGCATATTCTTTCCAGCTGAATCTTTGCCAAGCATGAATGACTGTGTTTTTGTCACCCTATAAGATGGAATCAAACATTTGTGCAATTACTGGTTGTTTGTTGAACGAATACAAATGTCTTTTATTGATAGAAATTTACGATCAGATGGTAATCTAGAAAGTGAGAGACACCTTATTCAAAGGATGAGAGATTTCAATTATACAGTGGTTATTATGAGGAATGCCAAAGCTATCTGAGATGTCCAAAGCCTTTCTTTGAGGACGTGTTAGGTGTTTGTCTATATTTAATGGAAAAATACAGAGTCGGATCGTTTTCCGACAACTGAAAGATGCAATCAACTCGCTACTGCTCTATTTTCAACTCTAAGGTATTAGAATTTTTGGAAAAAGTATGTCATTCCTGGATTCGTCACTTCAGAGTAACCAATGTCTTACTTGTGATCCTTGGAGTTGGCGCTGACTGATTTCTTATAATCAAGATTGCAGCGCGATCGCCAAGCTAGATAAAGACTTATAAAATGGGCAATGAGAACTTGGTTTTCTTCAATCTGAAAATAAAGGTAGGCAGAACACTTGTCATCCTTGACAGTAATGTCTTCGGGAAATTAGCACACTTTAACAGCTATCCTAACTCCAGATCAATCAATTTCCACGTAATATTACAGCAGATTGAACAAACGGCTTTGTTAATACAAATGACGGTCGAGTCAATACATCGGAGCATTTCTATATGTTTAACATGAAGTTTAAGTGAGCTACTAAAATTTGGTTTCAAGAATCCCCTAGAACCAGAAAATATGAGGTTTTTATTATAGCTTGTTTCCATACATTATTTTGGTACAACTATAGACTTTTCAGCACGAGTTATCTATTGGTAGTTGTTATGTAGCAGGTCAACTATTGATATCAAGTGTACATCAAGCGGTGATTGAAATTTGTCCTCGTGAATGGGTGGTGAGCGTCCTGATCACTGTACCACCGACGCATAATGGCAGAGATGAAATAAATAGCGTTTCCGTATTATTTATAGTAGTGAAAAACGTGAAGCGTATTTCATCTTCTTTGAGTCTTGTCGACTAAATGCATCCCCACTCCACTCAATAATATCACAACCAGTGTGACTAAGACTAAGGCATTAACACGTGGTGTCATCTAAGAGCTTAAATGTCTTAGAAAACCAACCGAAGTTTCGCAGCAAGTAGGAAATCCTGAATCGCTGAATACATGGAACTATCTCTGGTTGCTTACTAATTTATGTGCCACAATGGAACCAAATAACTCAACTCAGCGAGTGTAATGCGAAGAGTTTAGAGTCAAGTCCAAAGATTAATTTATTCTGTTTGGGTCAGTCAAGTTTTCAGAACATGACAATTAAGCCTGAGTTATCGTACTTAACCCTTTTGTATAACTTTCTCGAGAAAATATTAGTTTACATGAAGTTTCAGCAGCACTGACTGACACCAGACTCATGATGAACTCTCTGCTTGCGCTATCTGTCCACAGTGTGACATTTGTGCTACCAACTCAAATTCTGGATGGGTTCTTGTCCGTTACTGTCTGCATGTGCCCGTAGACGTCCTCCTTCTGTGTTGCTTTTAGGTACATATCACTGTATAACTGCAATTTCTCTTCTTTTTGATTTGAATCTTGCAGTCACCTTCTTTCAGGAGATCAGTGTGCAGCTCATGAACGCTTTCTATGTTGTCAGTATTACCATGATTGAAAACACTCTCAACGTATTTGTTGTCGTCTGAGTGGTTGGACTAGATTATTAACTATACAGCTGTGAATTTGGAGATCTCAATTCCATTTCATTTGTGTTCACAGATTCCTAACAGTGTCATAACACACCTGTTTCAATCTGTGTTCTGAGCAACCTCGGACAGGGTGAGAACACTTGGTGTCTTCATGCTTATTCTCGAAAGGTGACACTCAATTTGAGTGGCTTAGTAAGGCTTCCAAAGACAGACACAGCTCATCCTAGAAATTTTCTTCTATTTTCCAGCAAGGAATGAGTTTATTTTTCATATTTTTCTGTGCATCAAAGTTATCGTAGCGAAGAGTTAATTTTTAAAGAATGAGGTTTCCAGCCTAACAATCAACCCTTTTTCCTTTAAAAGGTTAAGGAGTGGTTGATAAGCCAAAAAACTAGTTAACCACTCACAGTTGATCATCAAATCGCCATCCGTCAAAATAACCGACATCGGATAAGTCCAATGGATATAATACAACACCAATGACAGGAATATGAGAAATATCCCCACCATTGAGACCATGATATGAGAAAGAGTTACCGTGAACGAACAAGGCTATAAAGTTATGTTAATACTCTAAAATGTTTATGAACAAATGTGTTTACTGAACCACAATCCACACTGTGAAATAAACACATCTGGTAGTGTCGTGTGTGTTGTGTGGATAAAACAATTACTACAAAACACATCTCCCAACAATTACCTGATATCCGTATTCTAAAACATCTTGATATAAAATAGGTGTAATCGAAGGATTTCGGTCAGTAACACTTTTGACAATGTCGACAACTTTCGACACGTAATAATTTAATAACTGGGAAGAATTATGAGGGAATCCCATTTTTTGCATGAATTCAACTATTTCTGGATTCGAAATCCTAAAGAAAAGAACACAGAAACACAATAAGTTTGATTTTCCCTCGTTCTTCGTCAGTGATTTTTAGAAACCGAATTTTCTATCAAAATAGTTATCCAAATCACTGACTGATAGCTTGGATTAATGCAGAAAATATCTTTCTACAAACTAACTTGATATAGAAATACCGAGAAAGATTGGAGGAAAAACACAATCCAAGGTGTTTTACATCCGACTTAGTTTCAACTCCTGTGAGATCTATGAAACTAGAATCATGGAAACGAACTAGTTCATGTAAGTTGTGCTAGTGTCTGAAAGTGAAGTGATATCCTCCTAGTGAAGCCGTGTATGACATTCAGCAAACAAATAATGTGGCATAATTCTCTTACGCAGCTGAGTCGCAAGTTAAGCCATCAAAAGGAATGAAATGTTTCACAATCTATTTATGATATTATACGGAAGGATATCATATCAATAAGTTAGTTAAGATGATACCGTCACATCTGTTTTGATGCATGACAGGTCTTGATCAATAAGTAGTATAGATATGAATCACTAATCTTCATGCCTAATTTATCATTCTGATTATGTGTATCTTATATGATAAAATATGTTTATGTTTGATTAGACACTAGTAACTAGTGTGACGTCATATTGATGTTTTATTGAAACTCTCCGTTGTGCTTTCATTAGGGATATGTGTAACTGAAGTCTTCAAATGAAACATTGATGACTCATAATTACCACCAACATTAACGCCGTTTCATTTGATTCTGAATATGTTGACAAATGATCTGCAATTATTCACACAGACACATGCAAATTGTTTAGATCAGATTCCCTTACTTCGCACCACTTCATCATGACATTTATTCAAACAGTTTTATTGAAGGCTGATACAAAGCCCTGCTTACACTGCTCACGGTGTATAACACATTCAGGCTAATAATAAGGCATGAGAACTATTCTGTAAAATGTGAATCACAATGCATTCGGTATTGTTTTTGATGACTAATCATGACTCAGAGATAATTCGACAAGAGTTGTACAGACAGACTGTACGCTTTCTATATGCCTTTATTATTTTAATTTCAGCTATTTTTCTGAAGAGGTTTCGAAGTGTCTGGCGAACAAAACGTGCGAATCATTCATTTCAACTTGGCTGAGATTCAAACAAATATAACGTTTAAGTAGTGATAAAATGTACTAGATGAGGCGAATTCAACCTGCATTCATCTGAAGCAAGAAAACATTTTCCGTCAGAATTCTTTGAGAATTTTGGGATGTCCTAACGCGTCTACTCAATGAAATGTGACATAAAATATGCGTAAACTCACCAACAGGCAAAATCTATATCATCTCCTCCAAGATGAATATAATTATCATGAAATCGGCTGGTGACTTCTGTAAACAGATTCTTCAAAAACTCAAATGTAGAATCATTGGCTGGATTCATTGGACCCAATTGTCCAGTTGGCTTAGAGTCTTGATAACATTTTGTTAGTAAGTCTGGAAATGCTTTTCCCCATGACAATGTATGCGCTGCAAGGAAGTATTTTGACAATCAGTGAAGGTCATTTTGACAGCTTTTAGAAGTGTCCGTTAAAATTTTCAAAAGAATGGTTACTGAACAAAGAATACTGTTTTCGATAACTTCATCATCAGGCTCTACATGTATGGATACATAAAAGTAGTGAATTAATTGTTGTTATGAACAACAATAATGTTTAAATAAGGGCGAACCGGCCGTTGCTCTAGGAACTTGAGCTGCATGGATTCATTCAATGATATTACCTATGAATTTCAAAGCAGTGATCAATCACTTGAAAGCTTTACTGACACTTCAACTAATTACATTCAAGCTACTCGCCTTTCGAATTCTTCATCACGTTTTCTGATTTATGTGAAGCAATTGAAAAAGAATAAATAGAACCGTAAACCCGCAATGATTCGAATAAAACTGTGGTCTTTTCTTCACAGAGTACCGATAAAGGCTTTCGTCGAATAAGAAACTCTCATGCAACTCAGGACTAATGCGCTTCATCACCTCATTGAGTTAATATACCCGAAAATATAATATCATGAACAAACCGCATTACAGTTTCAAACCTAGTGCCTCTGGCGAATTCATGGTTCAACGTTCCATTCGCGGAGTTATTTCGAGAACACTATCACACTGACTCAAATATTTACATAACATCATTTCATGTGGGCACAATTGGTGGATAATTACATCATACCAAATATCTTCAAACTTATTTACCTGGAGTATCAAACTCTGGAATGACACGGACTCCACGGAGACGAGCGTATTCCAATAAATCAGACACTTCTATTTCATCATATGTACACCTTTGTGGATGATATGCACCCTGTTGATATTCAAACGAGAATCGGAATTAATAAACACCTGAATATAGTCTCAACTTACCTTGTTGGACAGTTCTGGATAGGTGGTTGAGACAAAGGGAAATGATTGATCATCTGTGATATGCCAATGAAAGACATTCATTTTAACCATAGCCATGATATCCTGAAAACAGAAAATACTATGCCGAATATCACATATCCTACTATTAAATTCCGAATAGTTTCAACTGTGATGAAATTACTTCCAGTATCTAGGAGTATTCCGCGATGTAAGAATAATGGTTCATCTTCCACAGAACCCTTAAATATCATATTCTAGATGAAATATATTGATGAAGTCAAGTTGTCGACAAAAACAAAACTAACCCCTCCAAATTCATCCTTGTACACCATCTGAAGTACAGTTTCAAGGGCACGTAGTGCACCCCAAACCTCTTTCGAACTTATCGAAATTTCTGTATCTTCAATGTTCACGTTATCTGCAAAGTGGTGAATGAAATACTTCTTGTGTTGAGACTCACATGATTCGTTCATTATATGACTCGGCCACAGTTTATCTGCAATTTCGTCACATCCATCCATGATTTCAATTTTCAATTTGTTTATGATACATTTGTCTTTGCTTTCTGGAGGAATTGGCGGGTGCTGTGATGCTAGATGGAGACGAAATCTTCTCAGTGCGTCTGTGAGTATAAAGCATGTTGGGTAGTTGTGTTCGTAGGTGAGTGTTTGCATCAGGTTGCAGGCTGTTGAAGCTTTGTTGTAAACTGTTGGTTTTGGGACTATAGCGAGAGTGCGCCGACTTGCATTACTGAGGAGCAACAGAACCACGAACAACGCAGAATAACAGATCATGATTACGTTTTGTTTCTCAGCAGAGTATTTCTCACTCAAATCTCATCAAGTTTTGTACTAATTTCGAATTGGATTTTGAACTCATTCGACATCTGATGAGAAAAATATCATCCAACCAAATTAGCGTATCACCTAATTGCTTGTTTGTGGGTTGTGTATTATTGGAATTTAGAAAACTATGATGACTTGTATAAACAATTTCTGGAAAATACAAACATTACGAAGATTGAAGACGAGTCAGTGAGTGTTCTCATATAAAGTGGAACTTTTCAAAATAGAATTCGCGTGTTCTATGTATATACGTGTCAGGCATTCACCATCCAACTTCCACGGCATCACTTTATTTCAGAGAACTATGGAGTAACTGCAAAAAATATCTGCTTTCCAGTAAAGGCCAGTCTCGATGCATCTTTCACTGTACCAGAATTAATATAGGGCTAAAACTGCATGAGTTTAGTTATGAATGGACAAACTTCTGCCCGACTCGAGGGTGCTTTAGATTTTTGAACTTATATTACGGTGTGTTTTGTCGACCAGGCTTGGACGCTATTTTACACATTTCTTCGATCTGGTAACATATACGAAGCTAGAGTTTATAGTTCAGCCACAATGGTTAAACAAGTTCCTGAAAGCTTCTCTCGAAGTTATTGTGACGTTCAGTCTTCTAAACAAGTCGTTCTGCAGAACATTTTCTTAAAAAGCCAAACCTTTTTATTCAACTTTTGTTAATAGCAGTTGCAGGTTTGGTAAAGTACAGATTAAATTGTGACATTATTACATTCTATCTAGTAAGGTTTGTATAGTGTGAAATGTTGACCACACAACCTGTCAATTACAACTCGTGAATCCGTGCCATATCTGCAGTTTGGTTTATCATTACTTTCAGTTATTTACTGGTTGTAGTTTGGTTTGTTTTCTCGTGGCTGATTGTTACTATTTTTTCATTAATTTTTCTGCTTGATTAATTTTATAATTGTGGCATTTTAATGTATGTTCTCATCATAACGTACCACACTGAATGCTGAAATCGACTTTCTTGTGCAGATTGCAGTTACCACAACACCTTCTGGACACACCGAACCTTCGTAGGGTTCGCTCATGCGGAAATGTGTTTCACCCTTTGTCTTAGGTGTCACTTAGTTATTGTGAGGCTTCCTGAAAATATTATCGGAGATAGGTGTGAGATCATCGCCTACCCCTCTTCAAAACTTCAGGATCCTCTCAAAACTGCTCTGATAAAAAGAGTTGTGCCTATACGTCAGTAGTAGGTGCGACAATTCTCCCAAGACCTACATTTTAGTGATTTCAGTCTTACTCAAATACTTCATTAGATGTAACAGCTAGTCAATGAAATAAAAATTGACGATGCATGGAGAATCCTATCAGTCTTTCGAAATTCACTTTGATAAAGTTGGGAGAGGAAGAAGACGGAACTGCAGAGGCTGTTAAGGCTTAAACGAGCATTTTGACCACATTATTCAGTAGTTATTGTTGTCACAAGGATCTCTGTCCTCTCTTACCTGATGAGTCGTCGAGTTTTGACTCGGCGGCCCATGTAAATAAAATTTATCAGATGCGTAGTATTATAAAGGAGATGAGAGCAAGAAATTGGTCGAATGATTCCACATTTATCTGTTGTAGCACATATCTCTGACTTATTGGGAATCTGCGATCGTGTTTAAGAAACTGTCAATATTGTGGTGCTCTTATATGAAAGACGATGTGCTGCCCCTACCAAAATGTACACTCGTCTTTGCATTTCTGACACCATTCAGGATACATGTGGGAAGGCATATAGTGATGACTGACATTACTTGAGGATTGAAACAGAGACTGTTGTTATGCCATATTGAATGAAAGAGCGTTCTCAGCCAATAGCTTGAATGTCGGACGAAATTTTCACTTTGAAATTTTCCGTAATTGCGCTACTCAGTTCGTTCATTGTTTGAGTCCAGAATTACGTTTATAGTGTGTATAATGCCAAATTGATCTTCAGGAGTGACTCTAAGAATAACCACTCTACTACTTGTACCCTGAGACGATGGATGGTAGTCTGTTACTTACCTCTGTTTAGGAAAAGTAGTTATTTTAAGGTAGGCTAACTCTTGCAATTTTCAATCTTCTCGTTAAAAGTAGGGTAATGCAAGGCGCCTACTTGTGTTCAGTTCCTGGAGGTCGAAGTAATTATTGAAGTAGGCAGAATTAAATCCGTTCAGGTCTACATTAATTTTTTCTTAGATAAATCACATAGTGAGTGAAATAGTATTATTTACTGCATGAAAATGTTTCGAGCACAATTTATTGTGGTTTATAATCATATCAGTTATAATCACACGACTTCAAAACTTGAGTTCTATAGTTTTCTTTGTTCTTTCCCATTTGTGGTAGGAGTATTAGAGTTTTCTAAAAATCAGCAGACAAAAATAGCAGTAATACCACTTTAAAACACCCGTTCACTTCCAATCACCGAAGGTACGCTAAGTAGGGCCCAGTTAGTACTTGATGAAAAGGTGACTCGATGGGAATGCCAGGTGTAGCTGACCTTTAAAAATAGTGAAAATTCTACATTGCTGTTGAAGCGCTGTTTGGAATAGAAAAGTCACCCCCATATGGTGTTGTAAGGCACTCCTAAGAGAAATACCAGAGGTGCCTTCTTAACCAAATTACCACTTCACTGTTTTGACTCAAGGAAATAGCCCTTCAACTGACAACTACTCAGTGTCGATGAGTGACTGAATAGCCCGAGTTACTAATGAAGCAAACAGGCTATTCCACCTAGACAATGAAGTAGTGGTTGTGAGACATCAGAGAAGATGTCAGTCAGTTGAGTGACGGTGAGAATCTGATTACACGGTAAGTGACATCTTCAGTGAAAAAGGGTATACGTCTGTGTCTCAGTTAGGAATTGGTTCAATTATGTAACCGTCAGAGCGACATTGACCTCATCTTAACTGCCGGTGAGTAGGTCGGGAGTGCATGTGTATAACCAAGAAATACCATGGAGGAACTGATAGATTAATTGTTCGAATGCTTGAGAGGCGTTTATTAATTGAAAAGATACAAGGATGAGTTCATTTTAGTCGAACAGAATAGTTATGGCTATTTTAAGAATCACAACTGTGTGAATACCAGTATATTGGTGGATCCAATAAAATTTGGTTATCTGGCATCTTTAAAAATCTGTTGATTTTGCCACGGTGTTAACGTTGTATTTCCCAGAGTCTCCTTTATGAGGATCCGGAAACCAAAACCATTTAGATAACGACGCTCGTTAGTAACAGCCTGTCTTCTAGCAAGCGTCTGTAGGTTAAGTCGAGTACCTCGAGTATTTCCATTAGTTCAACCTTCGTCATATTACTGAAGATGGAAGTTGACAAGATTAGGTGTCTACTTTCTGTGTGAACGTACGTTTATAATTACATGGGTCATGTGTATTTGTGTTGAAAGTGACATTATCAGATTCAGATTTCTTGTAAACGTACCCATCTGTTTCAGTGAGATCATAAATATGAACAGTTTCATGGTCAACAAACATAAGACTTCAGGTTTCCAGGCCGTAGGTGTTACGAACTTCCTGGAGTAATTTCAGCGCCGAGTCAGATTGATTCATTATAAATTAGTTAAATTAATCCCAGCGTGTTAAGAAAATCAAAACAAGATTTTTCTGAACGTTTCGCTGTATAAGCCACAGCTTCTTCAGCAGATTTATTCGCATTTTTATTAATCATCAAAATATATAGTCCAAAATTTGTTTTACATAAATTGAAGTCAGTTATTTGAAGGTCATTTGTCCATGGACATTGTTTTACCAATAGAAAATATGTAAGCAGTCATCACATATATTTGTAATGACTAATGTCAAGTTGTTGTTGTGTTCACTCTTCTATAGTTGATGAGTACACATTAGTGTTGTATGAGTGTGTGTTTGTGTATGTATGTTATTTGTCATATGGAAAATACGTGAATTCATATGTGATAAACATGATCCTACATTAATATCAGTAAAACGTTTGAGCACTGTGGATTAGATCAAATAAAGTATAATTATATTTCAATAGTTTACACACAATGATAAGTTTTGTTATTGGTAATCTTTCGAGCAAAATTACTGCCCGTGTTCACACCACTGTTGGAATTGTTTTAATGACACACTTATGATTTGTACTCATATATGTAGTTCATTTAATTTTGTTCATTCGTGTTTTTGTATTCAGAATTATATTCCAAGTTGTTGAAAGTTGTACTGAGTCACCCTTGTTACATGTATCCGGTGTGACTTTATTGAATACCGATTCTGTTATAAGTCTTTCTTTCCATTTGTTCGTGTTAGTTTTTAGAATACACACATTGTTCCAATCGATATTGTGGTTTTTGTCCCATGCATGTGCAGCTATCGATGAATTTTTTTCAAGATTCTTGTAGGCTTGTGTTCCTGTTGGTTGACCTTTGGTTAGGCGTTTATGTTCATTCACTCTTATTTTGAGTGATCTGGATGTTTGCCCCACATATTTAGTCGGGCAGTCAGCACAAGATATTTTGTAAATCAAGTTGTTTTTATCCATCGTTTTTATGGGATCTTTCAGTTAATTTATTTTATTTTTGATTAGATTTGTCGGTTTATAAGTTGTGTTAATGCCGATATTTTTGAGGTTTCTTTGAATTGCCTCGGATGTACCATTTTTATATGGTATTGTGACCTTTTCGCATTCTTCCATTTTGTTATTCTCCGGTTTTACTCTTTTTTTCTCTTTTTTATATTATCTTTCATAAATTCTTTTGGGTTGTCGTCGTCGAGTAGCCTTTTTGAATAGGACATTTATTTCTTTACACTAGTCATCTGGCGTTGTTGTAACTCTACGTATTCTATCTGCAAGACCTTGTATTAATCCTCGTTTTACTGTGAGTGGTTGAGCTGAGTGGTAATCAAGGAATCTTCCAGAGTGTGTGGCTTTTCTATATAGCGTCTTTTTAACGCTACCATCTGTTATTCTTTGTATTTTGCAGTCTAGCATAGGCAGTTCCCCAATTTCATTCTCTACTTCCATAGTGAATTTTATTGAGTCGACACATTCGAAGGGAAAATATACCAACCAAATGAAGGAGTAGCCATGGGATCGCCTATCTCACCAATA